GTAAATTGGATAAAGACTGTGGTTGGAATCAGATAGGAAGAAAATACATTCAAGCCAGGCTAAAATATTTGACCTGTGACCTTCCCCCTCCAATATAATATGGTCCATATGGAGACAGTTTTAAAATTACATAGGCTGTGCAATGACCTGTATCGTGCAGAACAGGACCTGGTGCATTAAGGGGCCCCTAAACTTCCAGGCAGCCTATCCAAGAAAGAAGGCCCACAGACCAGATTAAGGTGCTCATATCAAACAGTTTGTTAAAGCAATTAAAACACAGTGAGAAGCAAGGGGAAAGGAATGAGGTAAATTAACAAATTTAGGATGGGGTCCAAATGGGGTTGAAGTACCAACTGAATCCTGGAGGGGGCGCTCAATATCCATACATCCTTTCTCACTGCCTCACTTTCCTCCCCTCCGTTGAGTTTTGAGCATGAAGCCTCTTAAACAAAAGGTACCCTGGGCCAATGACCTGACTTTGCTCAACTAGAGACATAGGGACAAGTACACCTGATCACAGGTACAGTGTGACCATTGGCCTGTTCAAAGGCCATAGGTTTTGTGTTTTTTGAGCAGAATATACATGGGACCAGAATGGAAGTAAGACCTCATAAATGTTAAGTATTTATGTATATCGAGCATATCTTGAATAGTTATTGCCTCTTATATCTTGTGTACAGTAATAAAGTAAGGTTGGTACTCAGATGCCTCAGGAATATTTGCTACCTCTTGGCCCTTCAATCCCTTTCTATCTCTATGTTTAACATATACATGCTAGTCTTATATTTCACACATTTCATGAATTCTGAAGTCAGACAAACTTCTTGCTACTTATCTAAACTCAAAACATCTTAAAATGTTTATGATTTATAAACTATAAACTCCTTTATCATTAATAATAGAATTGGATACTCTCATCTGTATTATCAGCTTAATCTAGTCTAGACTTTTATATGGGAATTTCATTATGAAGGCAATAAATGTGAAACAATAAATCTGAATGAGTAATTAGATATTATTCTTACTAATACTGACAATGGAAAGTCAAAAACTAGATTTTGTTTGAATTAAAAAATTAATGAAATTTCAAAGGATTTCTCAGTCATGATCTCTTGACTAACCTACATGTGTAATTTCTTCACTTCAAGCCACAGTAGGAAAAAAAACAATGAAAATCCTCATAAGCTTTGAGACTTACCAGCTAGTTTTAGTATAATTCTCATGATATGGAGTTCATTCTCAATAAATGGAGTTCATGATACGGAGTTCATTCTCAATAAATCAACATGTAAGATATATAACAAATCAATAAAACAAAAAACAGTCTATGTGAAGTGTATAGAAATCCAAATCTCAAACCAGAACATTCCTGGGGCCTGGGTGGTACAGTCAGTTAAGCGTCTGACTCCTGATTTCAGCTCAGGTCATGATCTCCCAGTCCTGAGATCAAGCCCTGCCTCCGACTCCATGTTAGGGGTAGAGCCTGCTTAAGAGTCTCTCTCCTTTTGCTTCTCCCTCGCTCTCTTTCTCAAAAAAAAAAAGAAAAAAAAAAAAGTTTTAAGAAAAAACAAAAACCGAAAACAACCAGAATATTCATTTCCTGATCATCTCAGATATGTGGGAATTTACTTCATTTTGAAACCGATATCAAAATTAGTTCTGACATTCTGATCCTGCAGCTTTTAAGGCACAAAACTGTTGTGTTTTCCTCTGGGACAACCAAAACTTAACGAATAATAAAAAAATTTTTGAAATTGAGTAGGAATAATGTCAGACTGGTTTCTTCATATAATGCATGCAGTCTCATGTGAGTGCCTTTTACTTTTCAGGAAATGCTTGATATAATGAAAGCAATATATGATATGATGGGTAAATGCACATATCCTGTTCTCAAGGAAGATGCTCCCAGACAACACGTCGAAACATTTTTCCAGGTAGGAATGCAAGTAGAAATCAGAGAGGGGGCAAAAAAGAGCAAATTTCCTAAAGCTTGCAAAGTGTCATGATGATTCAAAAGAATGCAAAGGAAAAAAAAAAAAAAACTTTTACTGAAAGGGACAAAATAATAGACCATGAAGTATCATACTAATTTAATAATTTTGGATTTGAATGCATTATAATACTGATAACTACACTTATTGAACAGTCACTATATCCTGGAAAGAACACTAAGGAATTGCCATGTTTCACATGTTTGTTTCTGGGTTTGTTTTCAATTATTCTCACAAGAATCCTTAAAGTTATAAATCCTCATTAGCCTCAATTTACAGATGAAAAAACCAAGGCTCTGAAAGTGTCCGCAAACTGCCTGAACTCTGTTAGAGCTAGAGTGCCAGATTTTATGTAAGGCAGCAATTCTAGATCTCCACCACATTCTTTTGAAAAGGGAACAGCTTCACAGCAGTTGGTCATATGATTCTTATCACTAAGAATGAAGCAGATCCTCCCCATAAAACAGGCGGGTGGATTTTTCACTCGCTTCAAGTGTCAGGGTAACAAGGGATAAGTCGGAATAAAGTTTCTTGTTCTTTTCTTCCAAACAGAAAATGGACAAAAACAAAGATGGAGTCGTTACCATAGATGAGTTCATCGAAAGTTGCCAAAAAGTAAGTTCATAGTAGTAAAGAAACTATCCCTTTTGCTTTCATAACAGCCAGACTAAGTAAAGTCAGCTAGCCACCATGAACTGAGCACAGTATAAACTTAACCTAAGCTTACCATTCGTACGCAGCTAAGAGAAGCTACCACTCCTAAAAACAATTGTCAATTTAATTATAATTCATTAATTAACATTTATAGAGTGCCTACCCTTAGGAGAGCCACACAGAAAGCCCTAAAGATAGAACTATTACAAGTATACTGCATTTTCATTCCTTAAATCCTTTAGAGTATTCATTACTGAGGGTAAAACATATGTGAGCTTTGAATTGCTCTTTGCCTAAACTTAGCATATAACATATTATCTCCATAGATGTATAATTCCAGTACAGCCAAGTGTACTTCACAGGCCCAGTTTGCATCCGATTTCTGAGAGAAACGCGTTGCTTTAACGTAGGCGCACCCGAAATGGCTCTTTGGCTGTGCCAGTAATGGTCTTCAGTCATAAAAAAACAAAGCACAGAAAATTCAGAGGAGAAATCCAAGTGGTTCTCCATTGTCTGATGGGAGATTAGTTTTAGCTTACCTAAAGTTATTTGACTTGATGCATGGGTAGAGCCACAATTAAGAATGTGTATTTTTAAATAAATACAGAGAGGATGAGGTTTGTTGATACTTTAGCTTTTCTCTTTATTTTCAAGTTGATACACTTTTCCTTTGTTGGCGCCTGCTCGTTTCTCAGCTCACATTTCGATGTGGCGGCCTTTGCAAGGATCAATTTGGTGCTATCAGTCCGCTGATGCAGTTACTTACTTGGCTGATGCAATCACTAGCAGGGGAAGTCGGCACAAGTTCAGCTATTTATCATTACTGTAAACAGCTCACTGAGTACCATTCATATACAATCTCCAAGTGCCCCTATAATGTCAAAATCTGTGCTCTTCAGTTTCTAGGGAATATGCTAAATTGCACACAGCCACTGTCCAAAGGTTGCTCTCAACAGTCCCTTTTCTGGCACCGAGAGACCATTCACTTTTTTTTTTTTAATGTTTATGAGAGAGAGAGAGAGAGAGAGCACGCGAGCAGGAAGAGGAGCAGAGAGAGAGAGGGAGAGAGAGAATCAGGCTCTACACCACCACAGCAAAGCCGAACATGGGCCTTGATCCCACCAGGGGAACCGTGAGGCCATGACCAGATCCCAAATCAAGAGTCAGACGCTCAAACAACTGCACCACCCAAGCACCCCATGAGACCATTCATTTTTAAAGGCTCCTGAAGGCCATACAGATTTAGCCCTAAGAGACCCAGAAAGAGAGGTGAAAGGACTACAAACACGTCTCCCAAGCCCCACCTCCAATCCTGAATGAAGTTGGCTCTTGGCTCGCGCACAAACCCTGCTTCCTTCTACATGTACAAATCTCTGTGATTTGGCCTGTGATCTACCTGGAATGCCAAAATTTTGCATTTGCTCCATTTTTTTTTTCCCTTACCCTCTACGCCTCTCTAGTTTCCATTCTGGTTTTCTAATTTGAAAAAAAAAATCTCTATTGACACCAAGTAAGATTCAAATGAAATACTGAAAGCCTGCAGACTTTACATTTGTAAAATGGGCTCTCCATAGTTATCTAGATGGAAAAGGGATAGAATGATATCTGTATGTGCAAACACTTAGTATTTGAGCTTTTGGCATACGCAGTGGGGGGTGGGCGGTACTCGGAAGCAGAACAGTGTACTTGCCCTTGCAGCTATGCTTAATTTAATCCCACTGTGTTTCTCCCTTACAGGATGAAAACATCATGCGCTCCATGCAGCTCTTTGAAAATGTGATTTAACTTGTCAAATGCATCCTCAAACAGACAAATGTGAACTACTGTACCACACTTAAACTTGGAGCTACCACTTTTAGCATAGATTGCTCAGCTTTACACTGAGGCATATTATGCAAACAAGCTTTGTTTTAATATAAAGCAATCCCCAAAAGATTTGAGTTTTCCAGTTACAACTTTGCATCCTTTTCATAATGCCACTGAGTTCATGGGATGTTCTAAGTCATTTCATGCCCTGTGACTCTTCAAAAGTACAGAATCTGGCAGAGAGTTTTACTGATTCTTTAGCCATGGGATTATTCAGCTTTCCCATTACCAGTGATTTTAAAATATTAGTGTTTTTTGCTACTCAACTGTATGTATTCAGCCCCAGGATTTTAAATGGTTTTCTAAACTATTGGCATCTGCATTTAATTTCCAGAAATTAATTTTCATGTTTGTATGCTGTAATTCCATTTATACACTAAGTAAACAAAACAAGATTACTATGATTAGTAACAAGCAAACACACAGTCCCAGTTTCTATGAATTTGCTGCTTTCTGTTAAAGATATTCATTTATCTGGCATTTTTTACAACATGAAACAAATTAGTTTATCACCAGATGTCAGCATATGCCTAACAAAGCTTATTTAATAAGCATTTCTTAATTTTTCATAATACATATTATAGCCAAGGCCTACATGATATATATAATTTTGGATTTGTTCAATCCTACAGGTGGACTATTTTCTATCTTGTCACTAAGTGGAAGTCCGTGAAGGTGTGGAACAAAGCAAGGATGTTTATAGGCACATGCAAAGGGTCAGGGTATCTGTCCTCGAGTTACATGGTAATGCTTAGTAACAAGTAATCCCTAACAGCATTGAGGGCCTACTCCATCCCCTCTCCCTTGACTCCTTCAAGACACCTTTCTATTACATGCCATTCAGGGACAAAGAAACCTGGACTACCCCAAGGCCTACAGGGAACAAAGAGCAAGCAGAATTCACTTTGAAAGCATCAGTGACTCCATTTTATCAATAACTACCATACCAAAACTTCGTTAAAGATGAAAATAAATGCTAAGCAATTCATCTGGACTGTCTTATGATTTAGCTCATCGTAACACTCCAGCAATTCAGATTCTCTTCAATGATCTTAAGCCAAAATTGTCAAGTGGCCACAACATCACTTAGGATACACACACTTTCCCTACTTTGCAGAAATACCACAAAGACCGAGAGGCTACAGTGGGAGGAAATTAGCGACTGTCCTTGCAACACTAAATCAGGTATCTATTCTGGTGTAGAGATAGGATGTTGAGAGCCGCCCTGCTATCACCAGTGTAGACATTCAGAGTAGTACAGTACATGTACACTGAAATCCGCCATCGCGTGTTTGTGTAAACTCAATGTGCACATTTTGTATTTCAAAAGGAAAACTAAAAGCGAATAAAATGTTTCTAACTCTACTGTCCATGTTGCAGGTATTTATTCCAACAAGCGTTAAGTACCAGATTGAAAATATCATGTCCTTCTTTTGGCACTGTCGGGTCGTGTGCACGTTTGCCTCAGGGTGGGGCTGGGTGCGATGAAGAAGAGTAAAAGCAAGACCAGTGGGCCGGCGGGTGTTTTAGCTCATGTGGTCCGCGGACATGACGGGAGCAGAGACCTGAGGAAAGAGTATCCCAGACGGGGGAACTGGGAAGGACCAGAGCTCTGAGGGGCGATGGGCATTTCTGCACTTACGACTCCTTAGAAATTACTTGTGTTCCTTGACATCCCAGCTGTGAGACTGTATCTGAGGTGAGAACTGCAAAGAGGTCACTCCGTGTATTTGAGAGAAGGAGCGAGAGGGTGGTCTCCGATGCTGCTGAGACCGAAGACGGCTGCTCCTGCAGAAAGGAGTGATCCCCAATCTTCATCCCTCCCAAAGAAAATCTGCTTTGGATTCGGTGTGGTGGCTACTCATGTCCCCACAGCCTCTTCTTGCCCTCAGGATGGGAAGTCGTACTCTGGTTTTCTATTTCTCACTCCATTCCTTTCTCTTGTAGAGCGATCCAGGGTCAGCATCTACAACACCATCACTGAGGGCTATGCCTATAAAGTATGTTTTAAAAGTTTTAATTAATGGTTAAACATAAGCAGGCACGACAAAATCACGGAGTGCATTTAAATGTTTTCAGATTTTAATTTCTGAAGATCTTCATGACATGAGTATCTTCAGTATTTTCAGACTACAGGATACAAAGATGACATTTACTTAAATAAAACCCAACACCTAAAGTTTAGGCAGTTTTAATAAGTTGTAATAAACAACATACTTACAAGAGAATTTACACATGTAAAAAAAAATTCTTAAACTAGAATATTCTGGCATGTACTTTTTCCAAGGATTCTACATCATAAGATGCATATGTACAGACAATAATTAAAAGTGAACTCACAAATGTTTATCCATACTTTAAATTTCCATAGCTTTGATAAATGACAAAATGACAAAATGTCTAAAAATAAGCACACAGCTACAAACTGAGTGTGAAAGGGATATTATTAATACAAAGCATTAGAAAATAAATACAAATGCATCTACTATAAACCCAGTAATGGTTGTTTGCACTAAGCTGTAAATATATGAAAAACCGACCCCACAAAATTATACTACTGTAGAACTGTTTTGAACAACTCCCCATCACTGACCATTCTTTCTTGTTGATGAGTAACTTTTATTATGATTCAGTGGAACTAGGTTTACTCATCTTAAACTAGTAAGGAATGAATGGTGGCTGTGATTTACAAAAGAACAACCTGAAGTGAATCTGAAAAGGTACCATAGGTGCCCATGGCCAGCATTTCACACCTGTCACCAGGAAGTAAGGAGATTTTTGTGGGCTCCTTTCTTCAACAGCATATGGAACAATATGTTGGAATTTTAGATTTGATGATGATAAGACTTCCCTGTCAACAGAAAAAAACGTAGCTTCATTAGTATCATGCAGGGTTCCCTAACAGGCATTAATTACACCTGTAGGAACAAGCCTAAAGAAGTGTCCAACACTCAAACCAAATGGAATGAGAACAGAATGATGGAATGAGAAGTGTAACATTTTTTCTGAGTTGAATACAGTATAGGTTGTCCTCTGTTTAAAAAAATGTTTAACTGGAGACTTAGGAACCAGATCACCAGTGTATGAATCCAGCTGCTGCCAGTCGCTTCCCTATCAAATCTGGGGCTAGTTCTTTCTTTGAGCCTCAGTTTCTAGGTCTTTAAAGGGGGATAACGACAAATTCTACCCCTGAGGGCTGCAGTGATGATTAAATGGATACAATGTCTAAAAAGTACTCAAACTGAGTACCTGACAGGTAATCACTTCCCACGTGTTCGATAAAGATTGGGGTGTGTGCAAGTACGTACCTTTTCCAAGACAGATGTGCCTGTGATTTAGGATGAAAATTCTATCAAGGTTGAGAGTGAACCAACTGCAACTTAAGGCAGGTAGTCAACTGATTGGTTATAAGAAAATGACACTGTGACTATAACTCACTTTCCTGTCTGCCCTGGAGCTGAATGTTTCCATCACTGTGGCACACACAAGCCCCAAGAAACGAGAAACTGTAATACTGAGAAGATTCTTTTAAAGACTCATCTCTACTGGGGCGCCTGAGTGGCTCAGTCGGCTGAGCAGCTGACTTCGGCTCAGGTCATGATCTCGTGGCTCGTGAGTTCGAGCCCCGCGTCAGGCTCTGTGCTGACAGCTTGGAGCCTGGAGCCTGCTTCGGATTCTGTGTCTCCCTCTCTCTCTGCCCCTAACCCACTAGCATTCTGTCTCTGTCTCTCTCAAAAATAAGTAAACATTAAAAAAAATTTTAAAGACTCATCTCTACTATTTAGAGAAGGAGAAAGATATATAAACATTTGGTTTTTGAAGACAAAGAAGAGCACTTGTTAATTTCAGGGAGGATTGCAAAGTACTGAAAGCAAAAGCATAATGGTAATTAGGCCAATTTTTAATAGCACACCAACAGAAAATCTCTGATCAAATATTATTATCAAATTATTGTAATATTATGTAAGACAGTAGAAGTCGAAAACAAGAAGAGAAAAAGTCTGAAGGAGCAAACAATACTTAAGTGCAAAATCTTTTTTTACCCTGTATTAGCAAGATTCAAAACAATGACATCGCGTGGCAACAAGCGGAGCTCCCTCACTGCCTGCCTCGGGAGCTCCGGGCTGCACATGTACACCCCTCTGTGTTCTCCTCCAAATCTCGTGTGTTCTGTCTGAAGTTTATTTACTCGAAAACTATGCCCTCCTCCACACACCTACTCATGAAATCTAACATGCTGGGCCTGCCCCTTTCTTCTTGCCCGATTCCACAGGATGTGTGTAAACCAGCCAGGGAGAGTTTCAGATTGGAAGCTGTATCATCATTATTTAGCATCCGTTTACTTGCATTTCACAAGGGAGGAATTGGCAAATTATTTTGCATTCCAATTCTCAGAAGCACATCTATAAGCAAAAAGAAGTTCCCTCTGCTGAGGACACTGGATTGGCTAGGGGATGGTTCTGTACCTCTCAACAAGGTGTCTGAATGCTAATCCTCCACATGCAATAAAGAAATCCGTTACCTAGTAGTCTAGGGACTTACCTGCTCCACCTAAACTTTATTCTAGGCATTCATCACGGAACGAATATAATCAATTTTAAAAGTCACTGTAATTGGTCAAATTAGGTAACTTAGACAAAGTTTAAACTAACGTATCCGACATTTTAAAATTGTATATGATCACACAAATTTCCTTTATAATTCCTTTAGGAAGTAGCTGCAATGAAACTAAGTTCTCCAATGTTAAAACAGTCCCATGCAAAGCTATCATTAAGATCCGATTAAATGTTGGGGCGCCTGGGTGGCTCAGCAGGTTGAGTGCTTGGCTCTTGATTTCGACTCAGTTTGTGATTCTTGAATTTGAGCCATGCTGTGCTGACAGCGTGCAACCTACTTGGGATTCTCTCTCTCTGCTCCCCATCCCCAACCTCTCAAAATAAATAAACTTAAAAAAAAAAAAAAAGGATCTGATTACATATAATCTCCAAAACAAGACAGGATCACTGCTTTACAGAAATATTTCCAAGACTAGATTATGTGAACACTGCTTTAAATGATGAAAATTCACTTAACCTAGTTATTTGACACCCCACATATAATAATGAGATTCCCCCAGAGAGTCCTGCACATTCTTGCAAGCCAGAATAATTTGATTCATCCTTGTGTGTGTGTGTGTGCACACACGTTCCAGATAGCATGCACTTCGAGACATGATATTGCAGCCATCTGGAAATCTCATTTCAATCTTTGAAGATGGGAAGATTGTAAATTTTTTAGACAGAAAAGATGGGAAATGAAAGAAAAAGAAAAGTACTTTCTTCAACGAGCTCTCTGTGTTAATCCTTTTGTTTTCTGAATTTTCCAATGGACTAAGCAAGAACATCCAAACTAAAGAAAAAAAACCTGTCAAGTCGCACCACATGGAGGGTATAGTCAGTGCAGAGGAAGTGAACGGCCGTGTTAACACAATCTGGTCCGAATCCCAATGCTTAGAAACCGTGTGACCTCTGAAGTCTCAAATGAAAATATCAACTCCACATGATAACTTGTGGTTGAAATAATAGATATCATACAGTCAGTTTCATAGTATAAAAGTAAAAAACAAAGAAGCAAACAAACAAAAACCCATGACTTAAGGAATAAGGCTTTACTTACACTCCCACCATGCTGCTCTAGCTTCTGTAATGCACTGGTGATGGGCTCTTTGAATTTCTTATCCCTCAGTCTCTTGGAAAGCTTTTAAAATAAGATTGGGAGAATGATTTGGAAAAGTAGCAATATTCACCACAGGCATAAGTAAAACTTCACTAAGGAGTATGCTAACTAGAAATAAAATCATTGAATCCTTACCGTATAGTTAAGTACACAAACACCACTTAATTTGTTTTAGATTCCAAGGCTTCTTTTAGAAAATATCTCATTGAAATTTATATACAATAGACACCACTATATTTGTTAAAACAAGTTCAGCATTATAGTTCCAGTGTCCAGCATAATACTTGGCACAGAACACAAAACAGAAGGGCAGAGAGCAACAGATTTGTCAAAATGTTGAATGTCTGAATGGAGTAATCAATCTAAAATAAGTCATTTTATATATTAGGGTGAAATTCCTGTGGCTAGTCAGGTACAACCTGCTGACCTAAAGGTTGTAAGCAAACACCTGCCAGGATCCTCTTCCTTCTCTCCTAAGGCTTCCCATATATTAAGGTTTGAGAGTCTATTCCCACTGTGTCTTCTCTCCATCAAACACCTGGTGTTGGTGGGAATTCATCTCCCGCTATTCCTAACCTCAGCATAGCAATCCTGATAGATTCACTACCATCCCTACTCTCTATAGGCTTTGCTAGATGTTCCCGGGGTGTATGGTCTCTCTGCAGAGTAAGAAGCTAAACATCCAGTTCTAGGATCTCTCTAAATGGACTGGTCCAAGAAAAAAACAGTGAAACTATGATTGAAATACATGCCTCAACTCTGAACTACAGAAGGATGCACACAGAGAAATGCCAGCTGTGGGTTATTCCAGCAAGGACTTTAATTTTTTATTAGTGTGTGCAGTAAAAGATTAATTCCACCTAAAGAAAAGATTGGCCCTTGTCTCTGGCTCCTGGATGGGCACCTCTAAGCCCTTGGTATGATCCTGCCAGATAAGAGCATCTTTGTTTACATGGGGCCTATGGGCCACTTGATCTCAGCTCAGCTTCTGAAGAGGCTGGAGACTAAGGTCGACCATGCAAGCAGCCAGTCATGCTTACTTGACAGAACCCTAATATGAACCCTGGGACACCACGCTGAGGGGAGTTTCTTAGGACGGCAATACTCCATCTCTGTTGCCACATATCACTTCTGGCTGGAGGAAGCAAGCGCTGTCCAACAACTCCAGTGTGAGAGGTCAACTGGAGACTCCACACTTTGTCCTTCCTGGGCTCTGCTCTGTGCACCTCCTTGCTTTGTGGATTTTACTTGGTAGCCCTTCACTGTAATGAACTGAAACCGTGTAACAGCTTTTTGAGTTTCACGAGTCCTTCTAACTGTCCAGTATCCCAGTGTGTATCTGTCCTAAGGATTAAGCTATACATAACAGGAAAACATCTCATCCTGAATACTGTTTACAGATTCACTAAAAAGCTTACAAGGAAAAACAAAGAAAATGATGAAAAACATGACTGTGGCAATGTACAATTACAGAGGAGGGTGGATGAGCTGTCTTTATAATCCATGCTAATCAACACGGGCATAAGACCATTGTACTGTTCGTTAATTTTTGTCCCCTCCCCGACTCTCGCTCTCACTCTGTCTCTCTCTCTCTCTCTCTCAAAACTAAATAAACATTAAAAAAAAAAAAGAAGAGGAATCAGATTTTTTTTAGGATTTCTGAATCCGTTAACGACTAACTGGAAGCCACTGATCAGAACAAGATACAGACAGCGCGTGATACGCATACACAAGCACTCTGTCATCTTTTCAGTACTTACACTTGTCAGCAGATGTTTCAGATGGTCATTCAGAGAAGGACCAACGACGACACTTAGCTGCACGAGAGCATTCAGACCTCTTGCAAACACGTCATCATCCAAGTGTACCTGGGGGGTTAGACGGTCAGGGGTACAGGGGCAGAAAAGGAAAGAGGAAAGACAAGTAAGAAGAAAGGGCAAGCAGGTGGAGAAAAAAGTAAGACTGAACATTCAAAATTAGAAGATAAGCCACTAAACCCTGAATCTAAAAAAATACCCTTTAATGTTATACCATCTAGAAGCAAAAAAATTAACTTCTGGCTTGACTGAAACATTAGCTTACCTGTATCACAGCAAACAGCAAGGCTGATGTGAAGTTTCTTACTTTCTCTAATTACTGAAAATGTCCCCTTTTACCTTTCGGATATCCTCTACAGGTGTCTTCAAGTAAGTAATCATTTGTCCCTGAATAACCATGGCCTAATTTTGCATGCACATCAAAATCACAGGTAAAGGACTCATTTGCATACAATTTGGAAGAAAAAAAGACATAAAATATTCTAAATGTACCACAGAAAGTCCAAAGGAATAGAGGATACCAGAGCCGCCTTTAGCACAGGAACCAGTCTTGGAAGCAAAGGCACAGCTTTTTCAGGAGCTCCCTGGACCAAAAGTAATTCTCTAAATCCCTCCTTTGACACGAAGGTGTATGGATGTTTAGTCTCTCTCAAACCCTGCCAAAGACAAAAAACAAACAAACAAAACAAAACAAACAAGCAAACAAAAAAGATTTACTAAGCATCTGGTTATACTAACAACAAAATTGAATTCTTACTAGTCTAAATGAAAATCAAGTTTTATTATGGTTTTCCTAATCATGATTTATAATTTCAATAATTACAATTTCAATTAAACCCAGAAATTGTGGAACAAAGGACATACATAGGACAGGAAGAATTTCTACCCACAGGAAGGAAGGAAAACATTTTGAACATTAAAGGAATAGAAAAAAGAAACGGAAAAGCAAGGAAAAATAAAGGAAATAAAGAAAAAGAAAGGGAGGAAGAAAATAAAAGGGGAGAGGAAGAGAGAGGAAAGGCAAATAATAAAAAAAAAGAAAAAACGTAAAAGAAACCCTCACTAGGATACTGAAAACATTTTGTGTGTACTACCAAATACTGTCTGAAAGCACAGAAAATCAGCCTAAAATGATGGTTTATAATTATTGGACCTCCTACCTTTACAGTGACTTTACAACTTGTTTAATGAGTTTCTAAAATATTGTATTTCCTTCATATTTAAATATTTTATATTAAGATATTTAAAAAACATCGTTTCCTATGAAAATCTTACAGAAAACCACTGTAAGATTTTAAATGTCATTTTTAACATTGGAATGTGAAATAAAAATATGAAGGGGAGCCTGAGTGGCTCAGTCAGTTGAGCGTCCGACTTTGGCTTAGGTCATGATCTCACGGTTCATGAGCTCAAGCCCCATGTTGGGCTCTGTGCTGACAGCTCAGAGCCTGGAGCCTGCTTCAGATTCTGTGTCTCCCTCTCTCTTCGCTCCTCCCCTGCTCACAGTCTGTCTCTCTCTCAAAAATAAATAAGATTGAAAAATATATATATATGAAAATGACCCGTATCATTTCTTTCACCCTAAATGCATCAGAAACTATTGGATAGTACTCTTTTATGATTTAATCCATCACTTTGAGTCAAGACAGAAGAGCCACCTGACTTTTTTTGAAAACGTAATACAAAAAAAAGCAACAGCAATATTCCCTCAGTTTGACTAATTATTACCTGTGAATAAGTAAAACTGGCTGCAAAGTCATGCCTAAAAATACTAATTTTCAACCAATTTGCTCTTTAGACCAAACTATCTGCTTCCAAACAGTCATCAAACACTTCTTTTCCTGGACCGCCAAGCACAGCAGCACCACTTTGGAACACAGCTTCTATCACCCTAAGGTTGTGCCTCTCCTGGTCATTGTAGAGATGAGGGATCAGGTCAAGAGAAGTGGATGTCCATAGTGGTGGTTCTGTCAGTACTTTTCCATTATTTAATAAGTAGAAGGAAAGGCTAATAATGTACCCAACACAGAAATAAAGGCATTGGTGTTTGGAAAATAATTATTTAAAGCACTGACTTTATGTAATCTCAACTAAACACAGAGTCCCTTTAGGGACTCTCCAAATTAAAGAACTCCCCTCACCTTCCTCACTTTGTGATTAGCTAGAGCATTTTTTTTTTTTTAATGTTTATTTTTGAGAAAGAGAGTGAGTGGGCAGGTGCACCAGCTCATGGGGGAGGGGCAGAAGAGAGAGAGAGAGAGAGAGAGAGAATCCCAAGCAGGCTCCTCACAGTCAGCCCAGACCCAGATGCGGGGCCTGATCTGATCTCACGTACTGTGCGATCATGACCTGAGCCGAAATCAAGAGTGGGATGTTTAATCAACTGAGCCACCCAGGCACCCCTAATTGGACCATGTTTTCAAAGGTGTCACTATAGTTGTGATTCATCTAAAAATTGGTCTGCTACCATATACAAAAGGTTTAAAAAATTTTTTTAAATTAATGAAACATTGATACATTTTTAAGTTTTTAATACCAAGTTTAAAAGACTTTGATCAAAACTGAATTTCAAAATAGGCTACCCATAAAAATATGCTGTTATTAAACCAAAATAATCTTGTAAGCGGAGATATAAATTAAGAAAAACAAAGACCAACAAAAATGATCGTAACTCTTAAAAAAGACAAGTATCTGTAACTTAAACATAAGACAACTGGCTAGTTCATTTCTCAACTTGTGACTCTAAGGGAAGAAATTTCACAGAAGAGATCACTGATCCACTTGAAGCTAATACTCTGCCAACTTTTTCCTGACATGTTAAAAAATACAAGGAATCTATCAAAAATTTTCTTAAAATCCTCTACAAAAACGACCTCCCTGACATTCAACTTAAAATGTACAGGTGGGCAAAAGCCCAGAGAATTTTCCAAAAGGACGTTTAGGTAGTTAGCATCAGTTCCCTAAAAAACATATCACATTCACGTTAAACATGACTGGTTGTATAGAAATAGATCAACCACTCATTGCTATCTGATGTAGTTTACGTTAAACCACTGATGTTCTCCTGATATGACTCATTCAATATGATCCCAAGTACTTTTTTGGAATTAAGTGTGAATATTTCATCTACTTATCTACAAATCCCTGTGTAGACTAAGTTGTTTATAAAGCTGATTAATCAGTTTCTAATAAACATATACTGATCATAATTAGTTCCTAAGGGAGCATTGGTGTTTTAATGACTTTCGCTTGGCTCTTATTCCAAAAGCATAAAATAAGATTTACTGATGCGTTGTGAAGTAACATTTAATACAGTTTTTAAGGTGTTTTTTTTCCATAAACACTCAGGAGAAATGGAAATCGCACATACCTCTGCTAAAGTAATAAGAAGAGGATCAAATGGAAGATTTTCAGGAGGACATTCCCACTGCAATCTGTGTTTCACTGAACCATGGACCAATCTAAAATAACAAACACTGGTAAACGCAACACGGACAATGTAATTATATATTAAACACTAATTCTCTGACACATTCAGACTCTTTCCAGAACATAATCATATTAGAACTATTCTGTAACATGTAGGAATATCATGGCTTGCAACGTTATTACGAAGGCATCTCACACAGCAAAGTCTGTAACCCCACACTCCTATCCTTTCAGCAAAACTGTTTCGCAGCAAAACTAAACTCCACATGTGTTCAGCCTACAGTGTTGGGAGTTCAAGCATGCTGCCATCTGTGAGTCTTAACACAAATGCTACACTTGACATGTTTAAGTCATAATTATAACAAAATAGGTAACCTACCAATGTGCAAACAAAGAAATGTGATAATTAGAAATAGTAACGTGTTTTATATGGAACATTATTTTTCAGATACAGATTCTTTAACCCTCATGATCTAAATACAAGCCAGATTTCCCCTCTGTTACACAAAAGAAAACAGAGGCCAGGAGGTGAAACAGCCCATGCAGGGTTACAAAATGGTAGCCCCTTGCATGGGTCACTGCTGCTGCTGTTGCTTTTTTAATTTTTTTTTTTTATTAACAGCTTTACTGAGTCATAACCAACATGCAACAAACTGTACATGGTTATGAAGTGTAACATTTGATACAGGTTTTGATATATAAATGCATCAAGAGAACCCTCATCATAACCATGACAGTGAACTTACTCAAGACGCTCAAATGTTTCTTCACCCTTTTGTAATGTTCTCAACTTCTTGACACCTTTTTTAGTGTTATTTTCTTAATAGCAAGAGGCCTTGGTAACATTTTTACAATTTTAGCAACCATGATTGCTTAGAGTGGAGGGGGGGGGGGTGTAAGAATATGTAAATATGGTTTTGACTCGGAATAAAATAAAAAAATAATAACAATAAAGTGAGGAATGCCTCTTGAGCTCATTTCTCCAAATCTGCAAATACCATTAAAAACTACATTTCTTGAATTTTAGAAAACAACAAAAAGAATGTCGTGGTTATTCTTTCCACAATGAAAATGACATTTCCCATCACCTAGAACAGCTAAAACTGGATACACTTAGAAGAAAGAAATGTTTCTTGGTAGTGAAATCTTAAAATGGTATCATTCTATCAGTAACTATATCGTTTTCTTTAAAACACTTCTGATGGCTATCACAAAAGGTGGCAAAAACTGTATCAAAAGTGAGGAAGAACTACCGTATATACTCATTAATAAATATAATTTCAATAAATACAACTTTTTGAAATTTTTCAAATGTCACTTCAAAAACTAATGAAACGGTATTATGCTAAGTGAAATTAGTCAGAGAAAGACAAAAATCATATGACTTCAGTCATATAAGGACTTTAAGAGACAAAACAGATGAACATAAGGGAAGGGAAACAAAAATAATATAAAAACCTGGAGGGGTACAAAACAGAAGAGACTTATAAATATGGAGAACAAACTGAGGGTTGCTGGAGGGATTGTGGGAGAGGGGACGGGCTAAAGGGGTAAGGGGCATTAAGGAATCTACTCCTGAAATCATTGTTGCACTATATGGTAACTAATTTGGACGTAAATTTTAAAAAATAAAAAATAAAATAAGAAAAAATAATCTCCATTTAAAAAAACCCAAAACAACAACAACAACAACAAACTAATGAAACAATTCCATTCAATTGTAAACTTTCAGTTTCAGACTATTTACTTGCAACTTGCCCGAGGCTATGAATGCTTATATTGTTTCAGAAACTGGTTAATTCCATTTCTTAAATTACAGATCTATTTGTAATTCTATTTTGAACTGAAATGATTTTCTTCAACAATGTCTCACGATCTACCCCAGTCCAACAGCCAAAGTGTAAATAAGTCACCTTTATTGCAACCTCCTAGTATATAAAATTTTCAATACATTTAAACTAAAAACTGTTATTGATTTGACTCAGTTATTTTGAATAATCTGGTCAGTTATCATCCGTACTGATTTACCTGCAAGGAATACCTCCTTTAGAGTAAATAGCCGCAAATGCAGAAGGGGCTCGGGACTGTTCACCAAACTGAAAGAAAAAGATGACACGAATGCAGTAAGTATACCATCACCTCCACTCTGTGATAACCTGCCCAATTTTAATCCTGCTGAGGTCAGAGGCAAAGGGACATCCTGACTTTTCACCCACGATGCTGGTATCAAGTGCATCACTCGACTCAGCAACACACCTGAGGAAAACGATCAGTCCCCTCAGTACTGGACCCACAGCCACAGCCACAAACTGTGTATTTCTTTTTAACCCCTAACTTGTTTCAGAGGGCGTGAAGGAGCTGGGATCACATATATAATATAGACAAATACTATTATACGAACACCATAAATAAATATAACAAAGATAATACATCTTTCTCCCCCCCCCCCCCACTGTGACCTCTCAAGGTGAGGGCTACATGGGGAAGAAGTGTTAGGTACAGGGAAAGCAGAATGGTCTTCAGTGGCCAGCACATCTCCTGCTTGTCCTCCAGTCAAATATGGATGGTCTGGATGGTCCAGAACCTGTAATTTCTCCCAAATGGTTTCACGCTTCTACAAAAAGCAAAGGCTTACGATAGGCAGGAGTGACAGAGCTGAAGGTGCAGCAAGGCTCTCACAAACATGTGCTCAGATGTGTTTGCTTAGATATATAACTTCACAACTTTGTTTGTCCACATATTAAGAATAAATTAATTCTGGGGGTGACTGGGTGGCTCCATTAGTTAAGTGTCCGACTTTGGCTCATGTCAGGATCTCATGGTTTGTGAGTTCAAGCCCCACATGGGACTCTCCGCTCTCAGCACGGAGCCCGCTTAGGATCCTCTGTCTCCCTCTCTCTCTGCCCCTCCCCTGCTCACACTCTCTCTCTCAAAAATAAATAAACATCAAAAAAAAAAAGTTAAAAAACAAAAGAATCAATTAACTCTGTATCTATTCCCAAAGATCATTTAAGAGATGATCAATCACAATGTTTAAATAATCACAGCATACATGATTTCAATACAGTTGATCCTTAGAGAATTTAGGCACAAAAAGTTAATATTTTATCACACAGTACTTTGAACATAATCAAATAAAATACAGTTGTCTAAATTATAAAATATAAACAGACTAATCTGTTTTAAAGATACAACTAGATAAAAATATTTTTCAATCACTTGCAGTAATTTAAAAATACATTTAAGGGTATAAGTTTAGAATTAACCTTTTTTCCTCTGGAAAAACACATGTTTGAAGTTAAAACACACAGAGGAAATGTCACTGACACATAATACTATAATAGGAGATTCATTTACAAAGTTCAACCCACATTCTGCATAATAATTCACAGAAATAGTAATGTTTCATTCATTTAATTACAATTCCTACTAAGAAAAATTTATTTTAAAAACTGTTTTCAAGTAATTGATATCAGATAAGGAAACTTGAAAAAGTGTTTGTTGAAGTGGGGGGAAAAATTAAGACAAATTAGGACTACAAACACTTTTTTAGTTCTGCCACCTATTAGGAACTGATTTTACTTTTTGGACCTACAGATCATGTAAATAATCCCTAAATATCCAAAACAACCACCAAGACAAAGTTTCTGATTGAAATTCTAAGCCATTCCATTCTTTTCCTTTAATTTTTAACTCATTTTAGAGATAATCATAGCTTTATCTTCCAAGTCTCCATTATCAATTTTTTTTCTACCAGTGGGTTCATTTTATCAATCTTTACCAAATTTTACCAAAATTCCATTACCATGAAAAAAACTATAGTCCCTTCAGTTTTTAACAATATCATCACACACTAGATTTCAACTGTAAAATTATCAACATTAAATATACTTCACTATACTGAGTTTCATCACATGTAATTTTTGATCCAAGTGAAGTGCTCAAAATTTACGCACATTAAAGTGCATAAATTATAGGTACGTAGACCGGTGAATTCTCCAAAACAGTGGGGTAACAACATGCAGGTGTGGAAAACCTGAATGTGACCAGCACCCTAGGAACCTCTGCCGTGCCTCTTCCCAGTCACTAACCACCTTTTTCCCTAATGGTGACTTCTGACTGACTTACTCTGGTTTGGTAGCTTTTACAGACCTTCGACATGGTCTTGTCTAATATCCTCTATTCTCAGGCCAAGTCATTATTTCCCCAAACTCTCCTTAATTAGTAATAAAATTTAAGGTTAGGGCCACTAAATATTACTACTTTACAAAGTTCTTTCCCCAAAGAGAGGAAGACAACAGAAGTGTCACCATGAATCTCTCAATTAAATTAAACGTGGGAAAAAGAAGCAAGGGCAAGGAGACAGGAGGGCATTCTCCGGGAGTCCCACTCCTCTGACACTGTGCAGTTTACAGAAAGAAGCAAAGCAACACATATGCTTACACAATTTTTCACTTGGAAAGTCAGAAAATCTCCTGCCCTTGGCCAGTTCATCGTACCCTTTCTATGTTTTACCCGCCATCAAAATCAGTGTCTCCGCCATTCTCATAATCCCCTTTAAAGGCTGAAACCAGGATCATCTTACCCTACGCAAGGTTGGGCCACACACTGCCTGGTGTTGTAGCACACGTGTGCTCACTTTCTGGATAATTCAGTGATCTACACACTTAACGATTATCCACTTTCATGCGCGTAAATCTCCTATTTGTGAAATGTGGTTAAATTGCTGTCAGAAGGCAAAGGGAGGCTGGTACTATAGAGGCATTTCCTGGGGAGCTAATTTATAAATCAAAGCAAAATAGGGACGTTTATGCAACTACGGAAGCATGTGGTTCCTCCCACGTCAATTGAATACAAGTTTACTCACTGACATTAGGAAGTAGCAGAACTAAAGAAAATAAAATATAAAGCTGATATGCAATTCATCTTACACTCTACAGTACTGCTCCACGAATGTGACAGGATACGCCACAACTGGTTATTCCCCCTTTGACACCTTCTCATTTCCACACTTACATCATCATTATTTCCATTCTTCATCATGATTACCATATGCCCTTCATCACTAGCCTAAATGTAACAAAGCAAAAAACAATGCCTAAAAGGCAGTCCTGACTGTCTTTTGTGCCTACCGGGTTAATTGTCTTAGGGTTAAGTTTATCACTTGGTCGAGGATGAAATTTTCTTGCGGACTCTGGAGAACTGGTTGATGATGAGGATTTGCCTTGTTGAACTGTAGTCCTATGTTTTATTTGTATGCTCGATGATGTCCTTTGATCACAGTTATCTGGAAAAAACGGAAGATCAACAACAACAAAAGAGGTGGAAGAGATAAAGTTCACTCTTATCCATCTGTGTAACAGAATGTGTCACTAACCCAATTCATCTCTTCATTTAAAAAGCAATGTTCTGTACCTGCCCCTCTGTTTCTCAGCTGAACGCCTCCGTGGCACTCTGATTTCTGCATTGCTTCCCTTTCACGCCTGCAGTTAAATGCAACTTGATTTCAGAATTTGGGGAGTAAGAGATGCATTAACAACATAAAGACCAAAACAGAACAGAGTAAATAATATAGTAAAAGACACACAAAAAAGATATGGCATGGAGCAAAATACCCCAAAGACCAATGAAAAATACAAAATTATGTCAACTTCAGTATCAATAACAGTAAATGAAAAACAATCTATAAAAAAATAAGATAAATAAAATAAACATTTTTTCCCATTCAAACTGTCAAAATAAGCTTTTAGAAACTCAACTGCAGACCTCTGGCTATAGTCAGAAAACATGGACTGGATTTCTGAAAGGAGTAACAGGTTGGCACATCCCTTGGTGTCTCTATCTTCTCTGGTCTCTGTATTTCCAAAGGCCCAAATGCTAACACCTGCATATCAAGTCCGACTTTTCAAGACATAATGACCTCTCCCAGTCAAGGTACTGAAGCTCCTTAACCTGAACATAACCAAAACTACGGTTATCACACTGAAGTTATGGACCTCTTGTTAATTCAAGGTACCACCAACTTTCTGGTCCCTCAGGCTAAAAGACTGAAGAGCACTGTTATCTTCTTTTCCTTCACTTCTTACAGATGTAATCAATGTGGTGTGGTGAGGTGGAAGCCACTTTAGGCTCAGATCTGGGTCTACACCCTCATCTCTACCAATTACCAGGTTTATGAATTAGGTAGATCATTTAATCTCCCCAAGCCTGGATTTCCAGACATTTTAAAAGCAGAGGATAATACAAGCCTATACAGGCTGTTACTGAGGAGTAAAGAAGGCATTATATCAAGTTGCTCAACCAGCCAGCAATGGTTCACTTCTCCCTCTTCCACGCTTTCCTCTTTTCCGCTAATGGGAGGACTCTAGTTCCCAGTGATGATTTTCTGCCTAATCAGATTATTTCTAAACTCCTATGTCTACCAAGCAATCCTCCACCACACGCACCTGGATTCATATACCCAACTGCCTGCTGGTATTTCTAGGTCTGGCTCCAGTCCCAAATTCCATGCGGCCTTTCCTGATCTCCTGTTTCTCAAATGTGTATGTCCATGGCACTCTTGATTTCCGCACTATCTCCTTCTTATTTCTACTTGATTACTCCACTCCCTCACTACATAGCACTCTAGTCATTCTTCCACTAGAGCATTTCCCACTCTAAGCCTTTAGAATTTCTATTAAATAGATAACTACCCTGGGGTGCCTGGGTGGCTCAGTCAATTAAGTGTTGGACTCCTTATTTCGGCTCAGGTCATAATCTCAGAGTTCCTGGGTTTGAGCACCACAGCAGACTCCTCTCAGAGCCTGCTTGGGATTCTCTCTCTCCTTCTCTCTCTGCCCCTCCCCCCACACGTGTGCATGCTCTCTCTCAAAATAAAGTTTAAAATATGTGTGTATATGGGTGCCTGGGTGGCTCAGTCGGTTAGGTGGCCGACTTCGGCTCAGGTCATGATTTTGTGGTCCGTGAGTTCGAGCCCCGCATCGGGCTCTGTGCTGACAGCTCGGAGCCTGGAGCCTGTTTCTGATTCTGTGTCTCCCTCTCTCTGCCCCTCCCCCGTTCATGCTCTGTCTCTCTCTGTCTCAAAAATAAATAAAAGTTAAAACATAATAATAATAAAAAATAAAATATGTGCGTATATACATATATACACATATATACATATACACATACACATATATACATACACATACACACACACACACGCATATAACTACTCCTCAACTACACTGTAAGATCTTCCTTTAAGGCAACATAGATGAAGTCTTCTTCCACTTCCAGATGAGTTTTTCAAATATTGGAGACACAAACTCCTTCGTTTTCGCTTCTTCAGGATAAACATTGATGCTTTGGCAAGTAATTCCTCATGAGATGATTTTAATCCACTTGCCAAATTAGAATTCTTCACAAGGAGGACAAAACTCCGTTAACTCAGCCCCAAGATAGTTCAAACATGATGTGACCACATCCAAGTGCCTTGCAAAGATAAATTAAATGTAAGATCGTTTCATAAACAGAACAATTTTCATTCACCTAATTTCCTCATCTTACTACCAGCAGATGACTTACTTCCCAATATCACACTTCACTTTCATTCTTAAGGCATTCAGAATTATGGTAATTAATGGCTCATTAAATTTGTCAGATAATATTCTAAGTGAAGATAAGCCAGGCTTTAAATATTTCGACCTAACACTGCACTTCAGTGAATATTCAACAAGTATTTACTATCATGCCAGGTCTCAGTTTTGAGAATTTCCTGATGGGAACAGCATGATCTAAGTTTCTGTATGTATGTATGCATATATGTATGTATCAATCAATCAATCAATCTGTGTCTTTCTTCAACTCTATAATTGGGGACAATTACAGTAACTGCTCTTAATGTTGATGAAGACTAATGAATTAATATTTATTTTGATCATAAATTGTAATAGCTGTCACAGCTGAAAATGAGGCATCAAAAGATCCTACCCACAAACACAAAAAGAGCAGAGTTGGTCACATCAAACCATGATGCATAGTTTTCAACACTACCTACCAAATCTACAAAAGTTTGTGTAGGAACAACTAAATTTCTATCTTCTTTCATGTGAAAAAGATGTTCCTGAAAGGTACCTCCAAGAAGGTGCTGCGTTATATTTTGAATGAATTCAAAGAGCCGCTGAAACTCTCCATTTTGAAAAACTTTGAAACATGCCAGAAAATTGAGCCTCCAAAGGTTTTACACATACAGGGCAGTTTTTATGTATAATATACTTAGGTAAATTACAGCAGTCATTTCAAAACTCACATGCACGATGCAAACATTTCTGCGTTCACTTTCAAAACACCCTAGAGGCTTGCTTTCCAAAACAATTATTTTTCACCTATTATTAAAAGAATCCACCTTTACCTTACAGATTAAGTCTGCTCAATTTTTTAAAATGATACCCATCTGGGAGCATACCACTGACAACAAAACCGGAACATGAGTTGTTTGTAAAAAAAAAAAAGACTTAATTCATCTTACACTCAACAACTCTTTTAAGTATTTTTTCATTAAATAACATGAGGAAGGTGGTGTAAAGAGGTAATAATGGTGGAAGGAAGTGAAAAGGTAAGGACTGTTTTGTGCTACAAATATTATCGCAGTCACCTCTCATTCTTTTACAAAACAATATAAAGATTCTAAACAGGCACTAGAATCCACTTGACCCAAACATCTAAACTATGTCATAATACCAGAGAGCAAGCAAATCAAGCAGGGCCCCAACAGCAGAACCCTCCTTTTTTTCCCTTTCGTCTCCTTAGGTGCCGCGGATCATCCGAAAGGGGCCATGGACATTCCGTGTCAGCGCTAGGAAAAGCATACTTTGGTTTTCATTGTTTTGGACAGCTCACATCCTATTTCTTTCCCTATATGCACTTTCTTCCGGGACCACGCTTTGAGACCACCGCACTAAAAGACTTGCTAAATTCTCAAGGGGCAGAGGCCACTTTTTTGCCTGCTCTCTCATCCGTTGTTCAGAAAGTTCCAGAAGTGACAGGCATCCCACTGAAGAAGCCGTGACCCATCTCTAAAGCTCCTTCAAATTCCAGAGTGCAGCCACAGAGCCCAATATCCACCCATCTCAATCCCTTTTTTACCATAAATCCACAGGGCCAATATTAAGGGTCTTAAATTTGCTTCCATTTTTCCTACCCTCTTCCTCTCTAACACCACACTCTTCCAAACACTTAAGACCCGTTCAGGGACAGAGTGGTGTCAAAGTTGGAAAATCAGGAGGACGTGTAGGAAAAAAATCCAGAAAAACAGAGTTGAGTGTTTTGGGTTTTTTTTGTTTGTTTGTTTGTTTTTTTTTTTTTTTTTTGGCTTTTTTGTTTTGTTTTAAGGAGCCGGGGAGCGGGGAGGAAGAAGGGCGGGCTACTTTCCGCCAAAGCCTGACCCCGGGAAAGGAAGGGTGCGCTCTCGGCGCTCGGCAGCTTCAAGGTCCTTAGCAACGAGTCCGGCGGCCCTAGAGACAGGCCAGCCTGGAAGCCTGCAGGGCGGAGACGGCGCGGGCGGCACGGCGGGTTCCCCGCACCCCTGGCCCACGGCATCCGGTACCCGATCCTACCGCGCCTCTCTCCGGCGGCGATGCGCACGCCGGCCGCCACTCCGGCTGGCACTTTCGCCCTGCGCCCGTTCGGCCAACTACCCACTCGCGTCACCGACCGCCGGGGTTCGGGAAAACGAGGCTTCGCGCGGTCCCCAGATCTGGCCGCGCCGCGCAGTGACGTCAGACGCACGCAGCGTCCTCTAAGCCTTTAGCAGGAAGACTGCGGAGGCGCCGGGCGGAAGAGGGTTGTCCTGGCAACGAGGCGCCGGGGGTTGGCGTTGCGTGGTGGCGAAGGGGCACCGTGTGGAGGGTCTTTGAGGACTGATGAGAGGTGCAGGGAGCAGAGGAGAGCACAAACTCCTAGTTCCCTGCACCACAATCTCTCCCTAGTCCCTGTACTTAACACTTAACACGTTTCTTGAACACTTAAAATATTGTTTTCTCCACCTGCCCTAGAACCTGAGAGCTAAGGATCTTGAACTCCAGCCCCAGGGTCTTGGGGGAGAGAGCCAAAGCCACCTACAGGCCCAGCTGTGGAATTTCGTTTCCTGCCATAACTTCCTGATTCGCATGCCAGGGCATTCTACATAATACATCCGTATTTTAAGAAAGTGGGTGTGGGGGCGCCTGGGTGGCTCAGTCGGTTAAGCAGCCGACTTCGGCTCAGGTCATGATCTCACAGTCCATGAGTTTGAGCCCCGCGTCGGGCTCTGTGCTGACAGCTCAGAGAGGAGCCTGCTTCAGATTCTGTGTCTCCCTCTCTCTCTGACCGTCTCTCGTTCATGCTCTGTCTTTCTCTGTCTCAAAAATAAATAAACATTAAAAAATTAAAATAAAAAAAAAGAAAGTGGGTGTGCTTTTAAACTTCAGATTATTTTAATAAAACTGATGCTGCAGGAAAATGAATGTCCCCATGTGTCTACCAAAAGCAATTTGGATTGTCATAGTAAAAAGTCCTTCAAACCTGTCTGCTGCATTCTTTTCCAGCGTCTTCTGTTGTCATCCATAGCCTTAGCTTTTTTGCTCAGGTAATAGCTAATTATACAGTCCTCATTGTCTGAGCCCTCCAGGCCCTATCATCCCTCCCTGCCCTCGGAGCTCCATTCTTGCTTCCTGAGTCACTGCTGTGGAAGCTTCTTCCACAGGCTGTGACTTCTTTATGACAATGATTATGCCTTTTCCCTGCGCTTCTCCACCTTCTGGCACGATGTAGCAGGACTCAGAAAGTACTCTGAATAAATGAAACAAACAAATGAATCCTATGTATATCTAACTCCTCGAATGTACTGTGAAATTTGCATACAAGTCTAAACTTTTAAAATTCATTATTTTATTACCTTTTATTATTAATAAAATTCATTATTGCTTACCTATCTTCCCCATGTGACCGAAACTGTCTCTATCCCTTTGGTCTCCAATTAGCACAACGTGTGCTTGAGAGTAGTGTTAATTTTTTTTAACTTTGTTTTTGTTTTAATTCCTTTTGAGAGAAAGAGAGAGCAGGCAGGGGACCGGCATTTAGAAAATCCGAAGCAGGCCCCACTCGGGGCTTCTATCCCACAACTGTGAAATCATGACTTGACCCAAAAAAGAGCCAGAGGATTATTAACCAACTGAGTCACCTAGGTGCCCCTTAAGTAGTGTTTAAAAAAAAAAAAAAAAAAAGGAAGAAGAAAAAGAAAAAAGAAAAAAAAGATCATCTTTCTTCGCTATTTTCACCTTATGATCTCCCTTCTTCAGATTCTCCATGCCTTATGATATCTCCTTGCCCTCTCCCTCCCACCTAGCATCCCCACTGATAGACTTAGCAGCACCTGGCTCATGGCCAGTTAGTCCCTCTGCCTGAAGTGTAAGAATAATTTGTATTCAGTATTGCAGAGAAGTGAAGTGCATGTGTTCTGGAGTTAGGCCATCCAGGTTGGAAACCCAGCTCCATCACTTACAAGCTGCAAGACCTTGTGCAAGTCGTTTAACCCCTTAATTTCCTCATCATAATAAGGTTCATGTAAGACTTAAGTAAGAGCACAAATAAAGTTCCTAACACACAGGGAAAAACAAGTATTCACCAGTGCAATTGTTGAGATGAATGCCAGTTGAAGTTTGCATAGAGTACACTGTGTTGCAGAAGTCTAGAGCTCTGTCTTGGTGTTAGTATAAGACCATGGATAGTGACATGGATTTTTCCAAGTTTTAAAAATAACCAGAATTACTTGTGTGAGCCTCTCCTAATCATAATTAAATCAACCTCTTGTAAATTTGCTGTCTTCATTTTAGAAAATTAAGAGACAGGTGCATTGGCATTTTGACTTTGGATACTTTCTTGAACATACTACTTTGAGAAGCCTGTGAGACATCCAGGTGAAGGTGACCAGAAGACAATTGGATATACCCATCTAGTGCGGAAGAGCAAGAGTTATGGATTTTATAGTAATCAGCGTATAGACAGTAACTGAGGCCATAAAGAGCGTATAGACAGTAACCGAGGTAATTCAGGGAGAACGTGCTGTGTGTGAGAGACAGAAAGCCAATAGTAGACTTCTGTCTCTGAATCCTGTTCTGGTTTCAAGGTTTAATTCTCTATTTGGAGAGAGTACAGAGCGAGTGGTTGACCTATGTGTCTAGAAATATGGCAAATTATTCTCACAAGACAGTGAGTACCATACATCTTCCCTATTCCCCTACTAATTTACTCTCCGCTGTTCTCCATCTACTGTACGCTCTGGGAGTTGATCACCATGGATTGGCATCAACAAGGCTCCCATGCCCTCCAGATCACACTTGGGCTTGGCCAATGGGGAAGCTTAATAACAAATTGTAGAACTTGGGGAGAGTGAAATCAGAAGATTTCATTCTTCTGCTTCATCTCCAACAGTTTCCCTGGAACTGGCTACATCCCTAAATGAAGGTCACAGCTCCTTTCTAAATAGCCAACTTCAGGACTACAGGTGTAAAATTTCAGGTGCTTCCTGCCCTTGATTAATGCACTCTCTGTGCAGTTACCCTATACTTTAAAAAATAGTCCCTTTGTAAACAAACCCTTGCCAAATCATCCTCTGTTTAACGTATCACTTCATGTTGTGTAAGTTATGAAGTAGATAAATCTAATCAAAGCTGAAAACTCAGAATATTTTTCTCATCATTTTGATTTCTATTTCACTTGGGAGCACATCTTAATTATATTTATTTAGTCACCAAGCATTTTTAAGAAAATATCAGAGGTATTGTTGGTGGGGGCTTAATTACTTTAACAAAAATCTGTTCCTTTTTGTAAAAATTTCAGACCAAGTGATCATTCCCGATTATTAGGAAATGAGATATAAGCCATTTTTTATGTAATTTCTAGTACACACTGTCAGGAGATGTTAGACATCACCATTATATAATCATTGCAGTGCCCATATGGAAAAATTAATTGCAATTGTAATTTTTTTTCCGTATGGAAAACATTAAGCAGTGATAGTAGCTACTCAGGTGAAACCAAAGATCAACATGAATGAGGACGTAGGTCAGCATTTGTACAATAGAAATCTAATGTGAGTCACATATGAAATTTTAAATTTCCTAGCAGGCACAGTTTTAAGAAGTAAAAAAAAAAAGTGAAACTCAGATTAATACGATATTTTATTATATTTTATGTAATAATTTATATTTATAATTTTTTATTTTATTCATTTTATATAATAGTTTATATTTATATCAATAAATATTTTGTTTCTATAAAACATGTCCAAACTATTATCAGTGTGCAATGATTAAAAAAATATTAGTATGATATTTTACATTCTTGTGTCATAGTAAATCTTCAAAATCGGCTACGGATTTGCTTCTCAATGCAGACACATTTCCTCAGTAGCCACGGGAGGCTAGTGGCGATCATACTGGAGAGTGTCATGGGAAAGCTGTGGCCTTACTTAGTGGTCCAAACAGAACCAAGGAAATACATGGAGTGTATCAAATGGTTACACAGAGTTCACGGTTTATGTACAGCATACCATTAGATGTTGGAATATCAGTGCAAAATCTAAAGAGATAACACATTAATTGATTATGAATCCTTGTAGAATCAGTGCAAATGACAACTTCCTTTAAGATTCTGAGTTGAGTTTAATTTCTTTTACAAATTCCCTTTTTGTCTGTGGAAGAGACTTAATCTTGTTCTCCTCGGAAATGTGTTTGGAGAGGGAGCGATGAAGCTTGGAGAGGTCAGGCGTCTGGTCCTCTGCTGTCATCTGCCTGTGTTGCCATCTGCCCAGAAGTACTCTGACTTTCCTGGTCCTCGGTTGGTCACTATCCTCTGTCCATGTGGATTGTTCATCCATCTCTCTCATTCCACGTTCTCATTCTTAGTTAATTCCACTCTTCTCTTAAGTGCCCAGGAAATAATCTATTCTTCCTATCTTTTTTTTTTTTTTTAACGTTTATTCAGGTTTGAGAAACACAGCATGAGCCGGGAAGGGGCAGAGGGAGAGGGGAGACACAGATGCTGAAGCAGGCTCCAGGCTCTGAGCTGTCAGCGCAGACCCTGATGCGGGGCTCGAACTCATGAACCATGAGATCATGACCTGAGCTAAAGTTGGATGCTTAACTGACTGAGCCACCCAGGCGCCCCAATTCTTCCTATCTTAAGTGAGAGATACTCATATGTTAGTTTCCACCCTTTGGAGATCATAGAAACCAGTGAGACTGTCTTTGAGTCCTTTGCCTAGCCACACCATCTGCCAATTCCTGTGATCCTGTGCCCTGCTAGGTTCAGGACTACCTAGAGGGTATCGGGGCATTCGTTCTGAGACATTGTCCTGGGGGTGGGATGAAAGGTGGGAGAGGCAGAGCACACTGTGTCTTTGTGCCCTAGGCCTTGACTCTGAATGATATACTGTTCTTCCAACTCTTCCAAATAATGACTGGTCCTTGGACTTGAAACTTCAAGGCCAAGAATTTGATTCTTGTCGTCAATACTTTTATGATGATATCCGCCTCTCTGAGGCAATACATAGAAAACACTCCAGTTGTAGTCTGCATGGAGGAAGTGTCATGAGGTAGCAGGAAATACTATTTTTATAGAAACTATTATATTCATTTATAACTGATTTTAGGATATTTTGTAGAATATTTTTATTCTGAGGTCTCAGT